ATTTAAGCACCGGTTTCAGTCCCATCGAGTCAAAGGGCACGACTCTTAAGCTCTTTGGGGAGCAGGGATGAGTGGAAGCCCAGAACTGCCTGGGGCAGGGGGCTGGCAGATCCCTTCTCTCACCGTGTGCCTCCCTGGAAAGCCTAGTCTGGTGGGAAAGCACCTGAGCAGCTCCAGGGAATTAGGCCTCTAGAGTTTCTCTTGAACAGATAAATCCTGAGCAGTGAGTTTTTAAACTCTCCCAACTGTGAAATGGGAAGAAAAGTGTTTCCATCTACCTGCTTTGGCTGGCTGCTTGTTTATACTGGAAGTGCTGTCTGTGCTGGAAGTGCAATGAAAATAACAGTAGCTATCCCGACTTAAAGTCTTACATGAGCCTTATAAACAACTGAAATACAGAAATAATAATGCCTAAATAGTCTGAGAGGAGCAGAGATTTTTTTTTTCCATTCACTGACAAAGATGTGCAGTTTTTGTTTAATTTTAAAGATGAATTGCTATCACCCCCAGAAGACTAATTTCTTATTTGCTATTGATTTTACAAGATTTGTCAAGATACTTTATTTCCTCTCCATGTCCAGAGTACTTAGGGAGGTCAGATAATGTGTCTCAGTCAACTGCATCTCACGTGGAAAGTGAAAGATACGATAGGTTTTATTATATGTTATGCTGAGGGTAAATGGTACCTGATGCCTACAAAGCATCCCTGCACACTTAACCCGAGGTTTTCTAGTAACTGCATAAATCATGCAAACAAAGTTGCTTTTCCACTTAACAGCATTCCTGAAATAGAAATATCATCCGACAGATGCACGTTCAGCATGTATCTTCCTTTCTATTGGAAAGTGAATAAATTGGCTTTCACTTCCCTAGCACTGAGCTCTTGGCAGTTTTTGAGCACAGCCATCCCCAGCACGCGGTTGTACAGCAGGCAGATCCAATAACAGGAGATACAAGCAGAGAGGAGGATTTCGGCTGCCCTTGCTTGCCTGGATTTTCCACCTCAATTCACCTTTAGGCTGTGGGTTATTTAAAGATGTCAGTGGCACCTGAGCAAGGAAGAGGCTCTGCAAAGTGCCACTAATCTCAGAAGCCAGCAGAGCCCCAAAACACACGCCGCGACCCAAACAGGACGTGCCACGGCAGCTTCTCTCCTTAAATTTGGCACCTTCAAGCAGCTCTCTGGCAGGTCCTGCTCACATCCCCTTCTCCCCCAAGCAGGCAGATGCTGGGAAAATACTAGCAGTATTCAGCAAAAGCCCAAAATAACCCAAGAGCCAGAAGCTTCAGACAGGACGAATGCTGGAGCACGTCACCCTCGAGGAGGGGGAGTTTCAGAAAGCACCACCTTTGTGAAGCCAGGGAGCAAAAACAATGCCCAGCCTGGCACGGCCAATGAAATATGTATGTACCTAGGACCTAATCCAGCCCTCTCCAGCCATTCCGGGTCTTTCCTTCACATTCAAGGGGCGCTGGATCCCATCCAAAAAGATGAGGGAACAAATGTAGCCCTGGCAACCCCTCCAAGAGCAGGGAGGAACAAAGAGGACCCCCAGGGCTGAATTTGTTTCCATTTTAATCCTTATCTATACCAATCCCCACCATGCATAGAGAGAGGCTGCTCGGCTGTATAGATTTGCATTGCTATGGGAGCTTGAAGTGATAAAACATTTGGCCTAAGTATTCAGAAGCAATTAGTGATTCAAAGCAGCCCAAGATATCTTAAAGGGGCCTGATTTTCAAGAGACAGGTGCTCGGAGCTGTGCCCTGACTTCAAGGGAAAATGGAGATTTTTGGAAAAAAAGCTCACCGACTGGCTGCTTTTGAAAGTATACCTCGTTCAAACAGTAGTGTTCCTAGTAGGGGAAAAAAAATCCATAGAAAATTCCAGTTTAGGCCAGTAAAACCTGGAAGAAATAACTTAATGTGCAGTGTTGGTAGAAGTACCAAGAGGAGGAGGCTGGCACAGCCATCCTGCACTAACACCAACATCCCAGCGTCCTGTCTCAAAGAAGCTGTCAGCTCTGAGACAGAATAGCAGAAAACCCAGATCTCCTAGCAAAGCATGAGGTAGTCTTCAGAGCTCAGTTGCTTTTGAGCTGACCCTCTGTGCGCCACCCTCCTGGGGGGTGCTGATTGCCCCAGGAGGCTTTTCCAGGCAGAAAGCAGCAGGGAAAGGCTGTAGGAAGCGGTAGGGCTGAGTTAGAGGAGAGGATTTCTTCAGGAGGCTGCTGCAAAGCTCACAGTGCAGAGGTGTCGGAGCCAGGTTAAAAATAAGCAGTGCTCAGACACCAGCCTGCACCTTTAGGCACCTACACGTCTCCACACCGCTGGCTCTGGATGGTTTTACTTAACCTACAAAGCTCAGAAGGCACAGAATGACAACTTCTTCCCCTGATCCCAGGCTGCCTCCCCGCCCAGGCCAAAAACTGCTGCTGTGCTCAGCCACAACAAGGAGCCAGACCCAGCAAACCTATTCCAGGTGCTCTGCAGAGCTCTGCCTGAAGGAAGAGCTATTTAGGGCCAGGGCAGGAGTGCAGGTGAAACACGAGCAGCAGCAGGGAACGGAGAGCCATGGGCATCGTGGAAGAGGACCAAGCCACCTGGCTTGGTGGATCTCAGAAGATCCGGGAGCCCTGATGATGCCACCGTGTTTCTCCTCACCCCGACAGGAGCTGACGATACGGGTGTCTCACTTCCCTCAGCACATACACTACCAGGCTTTAGCTACCAACGCTGTGAAGACACACTGGAAGCGTGACCCAGAAACACTGCAAAGGTTCAAAAAGCGGAGTACCCAAAGTTTACTTCTTAAAGCTTACACTTCACCCTGGGGCTGTGCTTCTTTACAAAGAGTTGGAGCAGTCTCTCCATATGATGCCAGTAGGGTTTTCACAGGTCTGTCCACAGCTGACAAGCTGGTGTGGGACCAGAGTAGTAAATGCCAGAGCTTCTCCCCCCAAAATCAGGTGTCAGAGAGGGGAAATGAATCTAACAGCAGCTATGGGAAGGACTTCCCCAGATCCTACAGGACCCCCAGCCCATATGACAATGCCTTGGGAAAAACTCACCCCAGGAGAAGCAAGAGCAGACAAAGCAGGGCTGCTGGCTCTGCAGCTGCGGGACGGGAGGCAGAGGGAGCGCTCTGCCAGGGGCTGGCAGGAATAACCAGGTCAAGAGGGAGGTGCAATGCAAGAGGAGGCTCCTGCTTCCTTTTGCCTGCTTCTTCCTTTGCAAATGTCCCCCGTAACTCAGAGCTGCAGCATGGCGAGCATCGCGCAGCCCCCAGGGCTACAGGGTACCAGCCTGCCCAGGGTACAAAGGGGCATCGAGGGGACCACCTCCGACCCTCAGCAAACACCGACCTCCCCCAGAGGGGATTTCCTGCCCCTCAAGGTGACCGGCACGGCGAGTTTTTCCTCACCTACCTCCACTCTGGCATTACAGGGCCAGCCACCCTCCAGCCAAGAGGATGCTGCCCCGTGACAGGAGCGGGAGGCGAGCCTTGTAATTAGGGGGTGGGTGCCACCCACCAGCGAAACCCTCCTTGGCCTTCATTTGGCCAGGCAGATTTGTAGCCAGGCTTGTTTATATTGCCCATACACCTTATCATTTGCTGCTTTTCATCTCCCGAGCACTTCAGCAGGCGTTTTTGTGAGTTTCTTCCCTGCCCTCATGTGAGGGAAAAGTTATATCTTTGAGTTGTAAAGGGGATGGAGAGGGAATGGGGAAGAGAAAAGCCAAATAATTTGCCTTGGGCCCATGGGTCGGATCAACCCTGCCTTTTAGTCGTGTGCTCAGACCTCTGCCTGCACCTCGCTACCCTCAGGCTCAACAGCAGTGTCACGAGGCCTTGTGCTCATCTAGGTGCTAGGGAGCAAGTCCTGTCCTTCCAAGGGATTTGCTCCAGTTTGGCACCAGTTAACAAGCCCACACAAGTAACGTGAAGATGCTGACACCGCTTTGCATTAATAATGAGGTGAAACGAGAAGGCTCCAGCAGATAACGAGCCCCTGCACCAGAGCGCTCCGGGCAGCAGACCCCCCTGCGAGCTGCTCCGTGGGGTGGGTGAGCGCAGGACCACTGACCCTCAGCTCTCTGGGGAAAGCCCCTGCCCTCACCTGCTGTTTGCTCTGCTTCTGGCAGTGTGTGACAAGGCCTGCTCACATTTCCAGGGAGGTTTCTGCCCCCCCTCTCTGCTTCCTTCCTCCCGGCTGTGAAACGGGTGTAATTCAGGCGGCGCCTTTCCCAGAGCCCCGCAGGACCTGCTGGTGAAGACTCCAGCAGCTTTAGAGGACTCTGGTGTCACTACAGCTCCTGTGATTACTGCTTGCTGGGATAGAGGAGGGTGGGAATTATAGGGATTGAGCTTCCACCCCTCTCCCCCACAAGCAGACGGTGTAGGACAAAGCAATTTGGGCTTCTCCACCGCAGTGGACAAACACAAAGAGCCAAGGCTGGGGACGATGCAGAGCTGGACACAGCCCCAGACACAAGGGCTGGGGGCAAGGTGAGGACTCCCAGCTCCACGTCCATTCAGGATGGATAACATCCTGAGAAGCCCAAACGCACCCAGAGAGGGCTGGGGAACCTTGCCCGAGGGCCATCGGGGCTCTAGCGAGTGACCGCACAGGCTCTCTCAGATCCCACATTCATTAAAAGTAGAATTAACGTTTCCCTCTAATGACCTCGTTAGTGATGCCTGCTCTCCTAGGACCTAGGGCTGTTGGTGCTGAGGGAAGCCTGGGTTTCTGATGAATCCTTCTGGTGAGTGAGCCAGGCACTGCATCTGGGAGGGCTTGCTGGTGGCCAGCGGAGGTGGGATCCGTGCTGCCCCTTAGCAGGGGCAGTAAGGAAGCCTCTCTTTCCCCTTCTGACCTGTTTTCAGGACGTGGGTACATGTCCTGGAGCGGAACATCCCTACTTCTGAGCAGTTTTTACAGGATAAGGAGAGAAGGAAGGGGCACAAATTGACAGACAAGCGAGACTTACCAGGAACGTATTATCTCTTTAATAAAACAAACACAAACAGATCAAGCATTATTTTCCTTGGTAAGGGGAAGGGATCATTTTCTGGCTGTGATTCAGCAGTGTCACATGGAGACAATGACTGCCCTTCACACACCTCACAGCTTTGCCTTTATAACACGGCTGGTGACAACACACCTGGCTGGGTAAGGTGCAATTACCTGGGAGTTCACTAGCTCATCGTTAGCAATTACCCGGTTGTGCTGTGACCAACAACCCACCCTAATCACCACATCATCGCCACAGACCTCAACCAGCTACCTTCCACCGTCAGCAGCAAATACCAGCGGTAAGCCCCTGCCAGTGAGTTTGCTATTAGCCACGGTGTGATTGCCTGCTGGGGTCACTGCAAACTGAGCAGGGTTGTTATAAAACACGATCCCAGTCAAACAAAAGCCAATGCTCGTAGTGAGCAACAGGCAGTGCCTATTCCTTCGGTGCCTAAGCCGTCAGAGAAACAATTTTAGCTGATATTTAGGTACAAAAAGCATTATTTAATCTCATGGATCCCATAAATGGGTCTAATAGGCAAAGCCTATAACACTGTAAGCCCCCCATAAAATCCTGAACTTATTATTACTATTTTAACAGACAACTTGTGCTCCATATTCCCACTTAAACAGTGAAAAATGCTCTATGTAACAGGTGTGACCCTGTCCCTCTCCCGAGCCCTCCAGCTTGGGAAAAAAAAAAGAAAAAAAAAAAGAAAAAAAAAGAAAAAAGAGATAACTTGCAAGCTCCTTGAGCACTCAGGGCAACCAGAGCCCAGGGAAGCCCCAGGGACCAAGCTTGTCATAGCTCTGCCAACACAAGGATAGGATACAGAGAGGTAACCCTGACCACCATTTTTCCACATGAACCCTTCAAACAGACCCAGTTTGAAGCTATAGGTTTTCTCAGCAAATTAATCCCTGCCCGCTCTCCCTCGGACCAGCTCCTCCATGGGAGGGCTCTCCCCATTGCCGTTCCCCAGAAGGGCTTTCTGTACCTGGCAGATTTGTTTTTCCACCTGCTCAGTGGGAACAGCGAGTGAGGGTAATCGTGTTCACTCATCCACACCCCGATGTTCAAACCTATCCGTCTCACAGGTGGGATGATATTCCTGCTGGGAATAGCAGCCTTAACTATGGCGACACGCTCCAGCATCACAAGCACAAAGGTGCTGAGGTCACAAAGAAGCTGGAAAAGCAGGAAAAGAGGAGAGGGATGGGGTCCATCAAGGCCTGCCAAGAGCCAGGCACCTGGACCTGGGCTGAGAGGCCAGGTAGGAAGGACTTGGGTACCACTTCTCCCTGTTTTTCCTCCTTTCACACTCACTGGTAGAAGATCTTATTCCACCACCTCTGGCACCACCAGGCTTGGTTTCAGAAACCCTCCTGTCTCAGCTGATGCCCGGAGCAGAGCTTCAGCTTTCTGTTAGTTGCAGCCAAAGTCTTGTCACTTCTGGGCGATTTCACTTGCAGCTGCCCTCAGCTGTCCCCTGCGCCTGTGACACCTCAAACCAGCAGGTTTCTCCTGGAAACCTTGGTCCAGGTTGGGGAAAGAAGGAGAAAATCAGATAGCCTCACCTCTCCTGGAGGGGAAAAGAAGAGTCTGAGCTTGACGGATCCGTCCCCTCCAGCTCTCAGCAGCACTCCTTGGCCCTAGCGTGACTTCGGAGCTGCTGCTAGCCTTTCTGGAGGGTGATGTAGGTCACTTTGCTTATTCTCGGTTAAAACCAAACGAGCCTTTGTGCCCCCCCGCAGCCCGCAGATAGCGAAGGAGATTAGGAAGCAGCACATTGTCTTTGGGCAGCGAGACGAGGGAGGACAGCCGTCGCTTAGGGAAGCCGTGCCGGTGCCAAGTGGGAAGAGGAGCTGCTCTGAAGTAACATCAAGCACAGCTCAGTTATTCGCAGAGGGGGGGAAATGAGTGATGCTGCCAAGAGGGAGCTAAATCAGAGCCGCGCGGGGAGAAGAGAGCATCCGAGGGCAGCCAGCTCAGCGAGGTGGAGGGGTGTCGAAGGGTTAAAGGGTTTTGCTGGGCGCACAGAAGAGACTAAGTAGATTGGAGAGGAGAAATCCAATTAGGAGATCTAACAGGAAGAAGCCAAGCCCTGAAACAATAAAGATAATAGTTTTAGCCGCCAAAGAAAAGATTAGAAGAGAGTGGGGAGAGCGGATTTGTGGTGGGGCCAAGAGGAAGGAAAATTGTTGAAAAACATTTTTTTAGAAAAACAAAATAAAGAGTTATTGTTTGTCAAGTCAGATTCACGTTGGGGTTTTACCTGCAACAAAGTTCATCTGAGGATCCAAGCTGTGCTGTTGGTCCTCGCTGTATGAATGCCTTCAGAGTGGCTGGAAGTTTCAGCCCATCCCCGCCTCCATCACACGCACTAAGCCAGGGGAGAACTGACCTCGGTGAGGTTTGTTTGCTTGCTGTTCTTTCTATATTATCTTGTCCATACATGCTGCCCAGGATAAAAACAAAGGGAAGGAGCTGTTACAGGCTGCAAATGCACCGAAATGGAATAGGGACAACACAGACAATGGGATCAAGGGGGGATCAAAGGTCTGGGGAGCAGGGGACTCTGGAGGGGACATGGTTGTCCAAGCGAGGTGCTGCAGAGATGAAAGGAGTTTCCCCAGCCTTTTCCACCGGCTCTGCTGTGGGCGCATCAATCCTGAGCAGCAAGGAAAGCACCTAACAGCTTGGAGAGGAGTGGGCAGGAGGGGCAAGGGCAGAAACGGGTCACAGGTGCCTCTGTCATCATCTGCTGGCCACAGGCTCAAGCCTTGTTAGTGCCCAGAAGTTGCACAGATTTAAATCAGTTGGAGTAATTACAGCAGAACGACTCATCCATCATCATCATTACTATTATTATTATTAAAGACAAACATATACATACCCCTGTAAAATGAAAGCAGTACCATTTACGTTGGCATAGCTTATTCTTGCCTGGGAAAGGGAATGAGGCAGTGATACAAAATGCCTGAGCGACGTGTTTATATCAAGTGTTGCACCCCGTAGAAGACAAAAACTGTTCACTTTCCGAACGCCTGCCACATTATCTGACTGGTGTTTACATTAGCAAAAACATCGCGTGCGCTCTTGGAAAATTAATCCCTAATAATTAAGAGTGCAAGTTTAGATTAGCTTAGTGGAACCACGTGGAATCTTTTTGTACACGCTCTCATTTGAAATAAATGGTCTTTTAATTCAGGTTAATTTATAATTCATCAAAAAAAAAATCCTTAATTAAACTGAAGGGAACATTACTCTGTTATGTCCCCAGTGTGGATGTCAGCTCCTGGCTCATTTCACACCCCCTGCTGTAGTCACAGCAGGGCAGGGACACCTGTGAAGTCCCCTGGGCAGCCCAGACACCCCCAGGGTGTGCGATGGAGACCCCGGTCACTTGAGCCCACTCCCTGCAGACACGGCCACTTGCACTGGAAACATCCCTTTTTGGGGACATTCAAAGGGTCTCTGGAGCCTTCAGCCTCAACACCTCCCCCCTCCACATGGGCTGCAGAGGGAACCGCTCCCAGCGAGGTGTGGGTTCCTCTGCCAACCCCACTCCGAAGGCGTGTTAATGAGGGCTCGTTAGGCCTTCCCGGCCTAATTGCTTTCCACACTGGGCCTTCTACTGACAGTGATAGGCACAGCAGGGCACGGGGAGCAGCAGACCCCCAGAGGACCTCACATTTCCCACTGCAAGAGAGGCCAAGTGTTGGACAAGGCCTGGCCTTGGAGTTTGTGTTTGCTGGACAAGTTTGGGTGACATGGGAAGGAAATGGTGCCGGGGACGAGCAGCCTGGCACCACAACGTGACAGCAGGGAGCTGGTGGCAGTCTGGTCACCCTGCCTGGGGACAGGGCCCGGGCACTTGCCCCTGGTAACTCAGACAAAACCAGGCAAGGAGCAGTGACACGGCCCAGGCCCCGCTGCTTCCCTCTGCACACACGTCCTTCAGCCTCGCCCAGCCCCGTTAGCTGTGCTAGGATAATTCTCCCAGCGCCGCTGAAGCGATGGAGGCTTTTCCTAGAGCGACCGGCGGGGAGATGAGACTGCAAAATGATTCCTTCCCTCCGTGCCAAAGGCACAGACGATTACAGCTTCATTTCTGACTCCTACTCATCCCGCCTCTGAGAGACCAGATTAATTGCGGCACATGATCCAGAAGACTGAAGCTAAGAAACCAACAACCAGCTAGCTGCAGTGACCCTGCTGCAAGGCTGGGGTGGAGATAAGGGCTGCAATTTTGGTGCAGATCAGCCTGGATTTGGAGCTAACCCTGTGTGTCTGCAAGCCCTCCAGCCGCCCTGCTTTGGCAAGAGCTTTGGCAGGCTCCTGGATCCATCCATCCCCTTTCACAGCTGTACCAGTTAAGGGCTGGGGCTCTCCGAGAGGAACTTGCCTGCTGAGGGCACGTGTGTCCCTCCTCCCCTCACCTCCTGGTGCTGGAGAGCGGAGCCAGATGGAGCCTGCAGCTCGCGCCCACGGGGGCTCGGGCTTTGTGAGCCATCCCCACACGGGCTGCCCACTCCCCAGGGAAGGTGTGTGCGATGCACGTGGCGCTGCCACCGCGGGGGGGTTTGCCCCCACAGGGCTCAGCAGGCAGCTGGGACGCCGCAGGAGAGTCTCGGTTGGGATTTTTGTGGTAGTCCCACTGTGTGAAAAGCCTCAGGGTGCACAGACCTGCTCCCCCCTGCCCACTCTCAGTTTTTGGGATGACCCCAAGGAGTTGTGTCTGCCTTGTCCTGCGGGGAGACCCAGTGCAGGTGTCCCGTGGGGTCTGGCAGGGAGGAGATGTCACCCCCTGATGTCACCCATTCTACTCCAGGTTCAAACCAGGGCCTTTCCAGCAGGGCTCTTGGAGCTGGAAAATCAGTGCTGTGCACCCAGATTTTGGCAAACCGAGACGAGGAGACGCCTGTCTCGCACGGCTTGGGAAGCAGGGAGCAGCCTCTCGTGGGCATGTTGGTGCCAGGCAGAGCCTCACACATCTCACTGACTCCCTGAACACATTTCTGCCAAGCCTCAGCAGTGCTGGAGCCGTGCTTCTGGGGCAAGGATGCTCGGTGACTGGGGCAGGACCGATGGCAGCACTTACCTCCGGAGGAGCCAGCAGAAACCCCTTGTCCCCCTGTACCTCCAGTCTGGGCTCTCAGTGCTCACAAACCACCAGCCATGAGGTCTGTAACGGGGAACGCAACACGTGCCTCTTCTCTCCCAAGGCAGGAGCGCTGCCTGCTGCCCTGACCCCTCGCCATCCCCATCTCTTTAGCAGAGCACTCCCTGGGTCAGCCCAGGCTGGCACAGGACACAGCCCCTGACCACGAGCCCCATTTCGCGGCTGCTGTCACCCCCAGGCAGCAGCATTTAAGGCTCACAGGCCTTAAATTCAGGGCTGGGGGGCTGCATCCTCACCTCTTCGCCTCTCTCCATGGTAACAGGAAGATCCTGCAGCCCCGTCCCCCTTGGCAGTGCTGGGGCGAGACAGATGGCAACAGAGGGGAAAAGGGCCCAGATCCTCCGGAGTCGAAGAAATCACAGGAATCCCTGAGTGCTGGGGCCAAGACGCTGACCTGGAGCTGTGGGAGGGAGGAAAGGCGGAGGCGCGCGGCTCTGCTGAGCCCGGAATAGCAGAGCAGCTGTGAAGTTATCGTTTGTAATTATTACGGCATATGGGAGGTAAAGAAATAGCTCCGAAGGGGAGAAAAACAAATAAGAAAAAGGCGGGATGCTGCAGGGCTGAGCCGGGGGGGCAGAGCAGCACTTGGCACCGCCGTGTGGTGAGGGGGCAGGAATTTGGGCAATGGCAGCACCGGGTGCTTAGCCTCACCCAAACACCTGCCCTGGGCACAGTCGGTCCCATGGGGCATCCCATGTGTCCTGCGGGCGTCCTGCTGCGGGGATGCTGCCGAGAGGGGAAATAAGGAGAGGACTGACAGCCTGCAGGCGAGGAGCAGTGCCAGCCGCCCTTCAGTTCTGTGCTGCGCAGAAAACAAACATTTTATCCAATCATGGCTGTTATTGTGATGTGCTCATGTTAAGGAAAAAAAACAAAACAGACAGGCCGCCTTGGGAAATGTGGAGCCATTCCCAGGGTGTCAGCAGCACAGATAGAGCCACGGCATGGGGATGAAGGCAGGCGAGGGGACGCTGCCCCGCGTGGCTCTGAGCATGGAGAGGCAGCTTTCTCTTGGACATCACTTCTGGAGCAGCAGGATACGGGGGTGATGCAGGAGCCCCAGATTACCCTGACTGATGATTGGGGACCCAAAAAGCCAGAGGCTCCCATGACAAGGGACAATGTTTGTGCTGGTCAGCAGGGCAGGGGGAGGAAAGCTTTTGTTGCAGCTTGCCTCATGAATCACCCTGCAAATGAGGCCGCGGCAGAGGCACTGGAAATAGGAAAGACCATTCAAGCTCCGTGATCCAGAACATGAATAAATCGTATGTGGCAGGGAACAGCCCCAGTGCCCATTAAAAGCAACCAGGCAAACCCTGCCGGCATCCCGGGATCCCTGCCGAGCCACGTGCGGGGCCTGCAGAGCGAAGGAGCAGCTCTGCACATACACATCAACACATTCATATTCATTTATTTATTTTTAATGGGTGGGACAGCACTTTCACAAGGGCTATGATAAAGCCCCTTCCTCACAATTTCTGTCTCTTCCACCCTGATCCACCTTGCTGAACCTGCCAAGGGCTGCAAGACCCTCAGACACCGTCAGTGCAAGTAGTGGCGGTGCCATCAGTCCGGCGCACGTAGTGTCTGAATGTAAATGGTTACTGGGAGCTGGGACCTCCCAGAAACATTCCCTCTTTTTGCTTATCTTCCCCTGTAAATCCCCTGAGCCAGCTGACCTACTCCACCTCTTCTTCCCCTCTCGGGGCTGACCCGTTCGCAAGCTCTTATCTCCGCGGCGTGTTTGCTTTGTTCAAACTGCAAAGAAAAATATATATTAAAAAAAAGGACAAGCTAACCCTTCTTTGCAAAGTCTGCTCGATTTTAAGGTGAAGCCGTCACTCTTTCCGTAGCAACAAGGGCCTCTCCTTTGTTTTTCCAGGCCACTAATCTAATCCGAAGATTTGTGTTTGGGTTCCAGCTTCCCCTGGACTGTTCATAATCCAAAAAAAAAGTCAGTATTGTGCAATAGCAGTTGAAAGGGGAAAATAACACCTCTCTTTTTGCCCTTTAATACCACAATCTGACACTAGATACCATGAAAGTGATAGGACGATCAGGGAAAAGATGGCATTTTAGCTTTTTTTTTTTTTTTCTCCCCCCCCCCCCCCCCCCCCAATAAAGACCAATAAAGACAAGTAATTCCTAGTGACCACCCAGGGGAAAAACACACTTGGTGCTTTGACCCCACAAGACCAATCAATGTTTTTAATCTCTGCCTATCACTGCCCCAGCCCAACAGGGATGAGACCAGGAGATGTACTCCAGAGGGTCCCGAGCTTCTGAAAGGGAGAGGATTTGGTAACTCATCCAGGAAATCTTGTTGAAGATCCCTCGGAGCACTGAAGAGGCCCAGGGATTGGCGAGGGTCTGGGCTGGAGCAATGCACAAAGGAGATCCCAGCAGGGAGAGGGCAGGGACGGAGGCGATGAGCACTGTGTGGTGGGCACCTCGGGGTGACATGGGCACCTGTTTGTCACCCCTCGGTGCCCTGCCCTCTCGGGATCCCTCCCCAGCGAGGCACAGGGAAGGGGACGTGGACCCCAAACCGTCCGAGACTGCCTGCTTTTGGTCTCCCCGTCTACTTTTCCAAGTCAAAGCTTGCGAGACTCTCTCCTCCCCTCTAGCGTCCGTCCCAAGCTATTCCTCCTGCTCACCAAGCACGGCTCGGCTCACTGCGGCTCCAGCCCCGCTCCCCTCGGGCAGCTTTTAGGCTTCCAAATAACACCGCAGCTCTGCGCCCAGGAACCTGACCCCTTTTTTTGTCATTTATTTTCCACCTGTGGGACTTAAGACCCAGGTGAACCACGGGACCCTACAGCCGAGCTCTCCAAAGACTAGTGGAAGGGCAGGGGCAGCCTTGCAAGCTGTGATGGGGAAAAATGGCTCAGCCTCCCCGCAGCAACTGGTTCAGGCACTGAGGGCATGGCAGAGCTGTCTCTGTGCCTTCCTCCATCTGCCAGGCTCGTTTGCCACCAGACACCCCGTAATTACACACAGCGACCTCCGTGGCCCTGCACAGCAGCCCAGCCTCTTCTCGTGTCACCAGTTAATCCCGAAGGACAACTCGTGTGTGGCAGTGCCCTCCTGCATTTGGCTGGGAAGTCACCGTGAAGCACCAGGCTCAGGGCCAGGATTCTGTGCCTCTAACCCCCTGCCTACCCAGTGCTCGGAGGCTTTGAACTGCTGAGCCTGGCTCAGCCCACCCCAACGCACCAAAGCGTGGTCCCAGGGGAGCTGCAGGTCCTCCCGAGGGGCAGGGACCTGGTACCTCGAGCCTGCCATAAAACAATTTGGGGTTCTGGAGTGCGATCCGCTAGAGATGAACAGAGAGATAAAAAGCTATGCTGTCTGTGAGCTAACCCCGTTTTCTTTCAGAGCACAAGGAAAAGCTTGCTGTCTGCCCTTCCAGCAAGGCTGTCCGGTTCAGAGCAGCAGGAGAAAAACAAAGATGAAAACTGGAGAGGGGCCCTCAAGCACCACCTGTTCCACACTGTGGTGCTGCTCCTCCAGAGCAGCTGGGGGACGGAGCGGGATGCCCGGCTGCCTCTGCTACAGGCTCCTGTGGCATTGCACGGCACCAAGCAGGTGTCAAAACCACCTCAAACCCTACTTTATAAACAGAGAGACTAAAGCACAAACCATCTGAGTAGCCATGCCCCTGAAGATGTCTCCTGGCCTCTCTCCTCGACAGACATCTCGCAATGAAGAGGAATTTGTTCCAAGCACAAAGCAGCCCATGCCCAGCAGCAGCACTTTTGGGCCAAATCCTTCTTCTCTTAGCCCCGAGCAGTGCAGCTGCTCCTGCTCCCTTAGCAAAACCTCAGCTGCTCCTTGTCCCGGAGCACGACAGCTTCTGCCAGAGCAGAGCAACCGTAATAAAAGCATCAGAGGGAGGAAAAAGGCACAGGGGAGCAGGGCTGCTTCGCCCCCGCTAAGCGGGAAGTGCTTTGGAGAAATAAACAGACCCACCAGGAGCACGCGCTGAAGAGGCTTCGTTTCTGGCAGAAAGCTCTTCCCTGCGGTGCTGATTTATTAACAGGTGGTGGTGGGGAGCAGATCTTGCCCCTCTCTTCTGCTCGTACACTAAATATCAGTTTGGCAGCCAGCAGCAGAAGCTAATAATGTAACAATGCTTAAAGGCAGCAGCAGCTCCTGGGCCATTATGGGCACGGAGGGATGGATGCTGACATTCAAAACTCGTCCCACCCAGCTGGAGGCAAGGACTCGTTCCTTAAGAGACTTTGTTCATATTTAAGGAATCAATGCAGAAGAAACAGTGACAGAAGAACCTGTGATGAACCCCCCCATATACCTCCCTTTGGGGCTAAGAGATCCCCCGCGTATCCCAGGGCCCTAGCTCCTGGCACTGCTGCTGTGTGCTGCAGGACAGTCCTGCCACAGCACACTTTGTACCTGCTGCAAGGTGCCACAGCACTCACGCCAACCTCTTCACTCCTCTGGCTTTCAAGTCACCTTTGGACACAAAAAAAAAATCCATGGTGACGCTGAGAGAACACAAGAACAATTGATCTGAACATGGTTCAAGTACGTGTCTCGCACACCCAGCCCGCAGTGCCACACACAAGGAGTTACTCCACCACGAGATGGTGCAGGGATTAAGGCTGGGTCGACCCGGACAAGAGATTAGGGGTCTCCGTGATAGATAAATGATGACACAGAAGGCAGATGTAGTGAGGACTGCTCTGATGACACCCATACACATATTACTAATTATTCAAGCATTTTTACCCTCTAACCATTAACCAGCTCATGGTAATTTTGCAATGTAAGGACAAAAAATCATTTTTTTTCCTCATCATTTTTCCAAGCCCTCTCCTGCACCCCAGTGAAGCTCCTTGCCCAACACCTGCACAGAGCCGAGCTGTGTTTGCTGAGAGCAGAGCTCACGGGCACTTCTGGGAGTACTTTCCAAATGCTCACCCAGAGTTTCGCATCTGCAGATGCACAGGGGCAGACCAGTCTAGCCACCCCATTTTCCAAGCACAAAAACCCACTTGTGCTTTTTTCAGCCACTTTGAAACCAAAGATGCAAACGGAGGAGGAGGCTCGGAGTATGTGGAGAACACGGCCCTACCCCTCACCCCTGCTACAGAGAAGGGGCGAATTGTTACCCGCGCCAACTGCCAGAGAGGGCTGCGGACTTTAGTCACAGGGAGGGTGCAGAGCGCTTTGGAAAACTATGCTGCCACTTTCTTCTTTCTTTTCAAGGTCAGATGTTTCTGGTCATGGCCAGTGACACTGGCAAAGAGTCAATTTTAGTAGCCAGTTTAATGACACAGGCACCGTTGTTGGGCAACATCTGGCTGGAAGTCCTGCCTGCATCCATAGTGTTTCACAGAATGACGTGCCACGGAGTTTTTAAGGCTTTTTGGTGTATAATTCCCTCTGGTGCCCACCAAAACCAGGCAAACTAGTGTCTAGC